ATATATATATATATATATATTTTATTTTTATTTTTATAGTAAACTAATGAAGAATGGGTGCTCCTGTGCATCTGCGCACAGACACTGGTGTTCTTAGTGCTGTCAAAAATAAAAGTCCTGTTCTTATCAGTTGATGTGTTAATTAAAAAATGCAAATATCGTCAAGGCCAATGTATTGGTCAACCACTAGTTCTGCTTCAGCATTATTTGTGATGTTTGAGCTTTATTTGAATCTTAATTGGGTTATAATGATTATTTGCACCAAAAAGGCCTTCAAAAGTTCATTCCATTAAACCCTCTTCTCAACTGCCTCTCTGTTACAGTTACATCTATGACCCCTCAGTCCCTGTAGAAGTTCCTGGTCGGAAGCGGGACCCCACCAGCAGCTCTCTATATCAATCTCACCGATTCCCAGAGGAGGCAGACCACATTCCCAAGAAGCAGGGCTTCCACAACCTAGCATACAGCACCCATCCCAGCCCAACCAAACTCGACATCGACAACAACCACATCAACCGGCTCCATGCTAACATTCCAGGCGAGCAGATCCGATCGAGCCCAGCGGAGGGTGACCCAAGCCTTTACATCCTCCAGCCCGAGGGCGAGGGGACGCCCATAAAAGCCGCCCCCACCTTACGCGTCAATCCGCCCATACAGAACGAGCCGTTGTTGGGAACGGAACCGGGCAAGCGAGAGGACCGATTCCGAGACTCTGGGCTGGGCGGCGGAGGCATAACAGATGGGACAGAGGGATCAGATGGATATCCCTATGGACAGGAAGATGAAGACGAGGACAGGAAGAGCAGGCTAGCCAGTACTCCGGACACGGCCGATGAGGAGAGTGTGCTGTCTGTGGATAAACACACCAGCAGTACGAGCCTCTCCTCAGCAGACACAAAGCTCATGATAGAGGACAGAGAAAAGAAAGCGTCCTCGATCGAGAGAGGAGAGCAAGAGAGAGCGAAAGAGATGGATTGTGTGAGCGTCACAGACTCAATGGTGGCAGAGGCCTTGGCCGCTCTGGATGCGGCGACTGCGGGAGAGGATTCTGAGTGACGTCAGGTGGCTCACTAGTTAATGGTGACTACATGGGAGATTTCCATACTCACTCTCTCACTCACCCTCTATATTTGAATACAGCCAAATAATAGCGCTCATGAAGCTTTCCTGTAGACAGTCTGTAGGTACTTTTATTTTGAATGGAAAAAAATCAAATGAAGCCTTGATAACAGGAGCTGCTGCTTGTTTACACAACAAAAACAAACCACTTATGAGACTTACTTGAGCAAATGAAGGTCATGGACAAACTCAATTCTCAGACCAAACTGAAAGGACTGTTGCGTGATTTTCCTCAGTGCTGTTGTCTACACAGCATCATAATGAAATAAGCTCCCTTTCTTATCGTCAAATATTATTTGTGACCCTGGACCACAAAACCAGTCTTAAGTCACTGGGGTAATATTTGTAGCAACAGCCAAAAATACATTGTATGGGTCAAAATTATAGATTTTTTATGCCGAAAATCATTAGGATATTAAGTAAAGATCATGTTCCATGAAAATATTTTGTAAATTTCTTACCGTAAATATATCAAAACTTAATTTTTGATTAGTAATATGCATTGCTAAGAACTTCATTTGGCAACTTTAAAGGTGATTTTCTCAATATTTAGATTTTTTTGTACCCTCAGATTCCAGATTTTCAAATAGTTGTATCTCGGCCAAATATTGTCCTATCCTAACAAACCATACATCAATGGAAAGCTTATTTATATTCAGATGATATATAAATCTCAATTTCAAAAAATTGACCCTTATGACTGGTTTTGTGGTCCAGGGTCATATTTCTGCTCCGTAACATAATGAAAGTACTCTTCTTCTGTAGCAACTGTTTGGAGGTGGGGCTAAATCATGCATAATTACTTTCATACATTTTCTATACAAAGAGGTGGTGAAAAACAAATAAGCCAGTGTCCTGGTGTGGGGTTACTTCTGTGCTTAATGCACTTTTAGAGACGTTGTATGATTATATGATCAAACTGCTTAATACAGTGAAATCAAGTTTATTCAATCTCAACAGATCAATATGCTATTTCTTGCTTGTTGTTACACTGTGAATATATCATCTATACCCTCATAGAGCTGTATGACATGCGCTTTATTTTTACACATAAATATACAGCAAGAATTGTGGGTGAATCTCATGAAAACATATTTCAACCAAAAATATAAAATGCATGTTTATCCTGCATTGTAGATGACTGTTTTTATTTTTTTGATTAAATATTTAAATGTATAATTACATTATAAACGATATATCTTGAGATTTTTACATTACAGTAAAGTTAATTTGAAGGGGAAATGCTTAATGCAAAGCATCTTCAGTGGTAGCGTCATGTATGCCAAATATAATTTCTTTAGACTTTGAAATACGATCCGTTCATGAGATTTCTCCATATACTATATATTTATGCTGTTGTTGCACTTTGTATATTTTAAAAGCAGTAGCGTGTTGAAGAATCAGGCCAGTGATGGTAGTTGATGCTCTATGCTCAGAGGTTATGCTCTAGTCCTGGTTAACTATCAGAGGCCTGATGAAAAGAACCCTGCTAACTTAGCTGTACACTCTTAAAAATAAAGGTGCTTCACGATGCCATAGAAGAACCTTTTTGTCTAAATGGTTCCATAAAGAACTTTTAACATCGGAAGAACCTTTCTGTTTCACAAAAGGTTCTTTGTGGCGAAAGAAGGTTCTTCAGATTACAAAAAGGTAAGAAAGAGATGGTTCTTTAAAGAACCTTTGACTGAATGGTTCTTTGTGGAACCAAAAATGGTTCTTCTATGGCATCGCTTGAAGAACCTTTTGAAGCACCTTTATATTTTATGACGCTCATCTCATGCAGACATTTCTATACATTAGTGAAGAAATGTTTTTCAGAAAAATGAATGTAACCCCCTTAATACAAGAAATTCTTTTTTTTTTCTTTATGAAGGTCATTGAGTATTTCCAAATGTTTTACCAAGTATGCATTGGTTCGAACTTTATGTATTGGTCAGAATCATTTCTTTTAAGCCTGTTAATGAGTAAATGTTATTGACAGGAACTGGTTTTCTAATGACATTATGACTAAGTGCACATTCACAGTGAATATGCTGTTTATATTCCATTCTTTCTGCTTTTACCAGAGGACAGAATTGTCACATGAACCAGGGGAAAATAAAAACAATGTGCTTGATCATAAGACTTGCGATGTAATCTGTTGATATTTCTGTCTTGTGGATAACCATGCCGTAGGGCCTCTTATATAACCCTCCAGCCCTCACTGGCCAGTAAGACGTGTCCTGAAGTGTGTGTGTGACTGCTATATTGTTCAGAAATCCAAAGAGATCAGATATCGGGAATGGTGAGGTCTGTACAATTCTGCAAATACTAAAACACAATTAAGATACAGATGTTATGAACCATTATATTCCAATGACACTTTTAATGAGTGCGAGGATGAAAATAAGCAACCTTTGATTGGCTATAACATCATATAGAACCATTGAATGACCTAAAATATTTAGAAAATGTTTCAAAAGATTTTAGTCCTGTAGAGTCTATTTCAAAATTCATCAGTTTGTATTTTTGTCTCTTTCATTGTCTGGTTTTGATACAGCAAAAACAGTTGTATTATTTGTATTCAGTCTTAGTTAAATCGATGCTTTGATTGCTAAAAGCAAAGATTTCTTTTAACAGTACAAGAGGCAATACTGACACCAGTGTTTGGGATAAAAGAGAATCGTATCTGGTTTGACGAGCCATAAACATTTGGGTATCTGGCGTTTAGAGAGCCCTGACTTGTGTTGTTTAGTAATAAACGATAGAAGCCAAAAAGATCAAAGAAATGAAAGGAGCACAGACTTTTATGCCAATGCAAATGTGGTTATTAAAACTCCAAATAATGAGGATTTTTCCTTTTTTTACAAGAGGGTTTTACAAGTGTCTTACAAATTAAATTATACACTGCTGTTCAAAAGTTTAGGGTTGTTAAGATTGTTTTAAATTTCTTTTGAAAGAAGGCTGCAATTATTTGATCAAATACAGTAAAACCGTACTATTGTGAAATTATTCATTTAAAATTATTTTCCATTTTCAAATACTTTAAAATGTTATCTATTCCTGTGATGACAAAGCTTTTTCAGAAGCCGTTACTCTAGTCTTCAGTGTCACACGATCCTTCAGAAATCACTCTAATAACGCCGATTTGGTTCTTAAGGAGCATTTCTTATTGAACAAACGGTTTGTGTGGAAACTGAGATACAATCATTTGTGATGAACAGAAAGTTCAAAAGAACAGTATTTATTTTAACACTTGTATAATATATTTAGTGTAATTTTTCTTTAAAAGAAAACTGACACTAAATGAACAGTAGTGTACATAAAGTATAGCCAATATAGAAAAGCACAATTTGTGAATTAACTAAAAACCTAAATTCAGTTTCCTTGTAGCCAAACACAACTGATCAACACCAAAGGTCCAGCTGAATAAATGTGCTGCTGTGTGACTGAGCATTCACAGCTCTTTAAAGTCTGTTAATGATTCACAAATCCCAAAACATATCCAGACTAATAATACTCTACAGCTGGTTAACCATTTATATGCTCCAGACTGTTAATGCACATTCTTGTTGCTTAATCGTTCTTTCTTCCTAGAAATATCTTGATGCATAATGTACAAAAATAGCCCTTAACTCACAAAAACAATGTATGTAATGCACAAGGGCACATACTTTCCAGCAGGTCATGGGTAAGTAGGGAGCAGTCACGGAGAAATGGGAAAGATATGCCTTCAGCATTTGAGTTTTGGAAAAGCTACAGACCTGAAGGCCATTAGTGCTGCACCGGTCACCTATTAACAGACTCTTACTGATCTTTAACCTCAGTCCAGCTCTAGAAAACATACTACAGATGCAAGGACCTCTCATGTTTTACTATGGATGAAGGCTCTGTGATTGTATCGTGCTGAGAATGCTGTGAGGACACACAGAAGTTAAAGTTTCTCAAAGCCATTACCTTTGAGCTAAGCTGACCTCAGAGCATTCAGTGTAGCAAATGTGCAAGTACATAGTGAGTGGGAAAGTGTGTCCTGATCAGTCTTGTGCTTCAGAATGGAAATGACGTGGCTTGTGGGTAAAGCAGAATCAGAACAACAAGTCCAATGTGTTTAATCTTTTTAATGTATAAATTCTGGGTACAAGACTTTCAGTAAAATATAACAGTACATTCTCATTCATTTTATTTAAACAACTCCATATAATTCTTCCAATCCTTCGGTTTATACATCTTTAACATTTCTTTAATTCTTTTCAATTTCAGAAATGACTACTTGAAGTGACCATTTCTGTACACATTAAGATGTAAGGTTAATATTTCAGTATGAACACCTTTATCTAAAATTTGAACAAGACGGCTATGGGCAACATTTATTTAATTTGTTCCAGCACTTCAAGCTCATGTGCAATGAACTAGAAAGCTTCTAGATATCTTGAGGTCTACCTTTATGGTGTTTGTGCAAAAAAAAAAAAAGGCAAAAAAATCAGTGGCACAATAATGACAATATTAATAAAAGGCTAAACACATTTAAAAAAAAAAAAAAAGTCAACTGTATATTTATTAGAAGGTTTTTTGTTGTTGTTGTTAAAATACACAGAATTATTAAAAGTCCAATATTTAACCAAGGACACTTGTACTTTTTTTGAGGTACCATACATTGTTTTTCCCAAAGATAACAAAGATATTAGGTATAGTGAAGGATACGGTCTTATCTATTATATACGCCTGACATTATAATAATATATGAGGCTATAGATTTGAGAGTTTCTGAACTCTGTGGTCACATGCAAGCTATAACGAATCATGAAACTAAGAATATTTATCATTTCTAAACCGTTGAGTGCTCGACAGACTGGTGAATTGATCGCAGTGCTCTGTTCCAGACATCACCAAGCAAACTTCCAGTCGGTTAAGGCGTGCTAGGTTGATAAATTAATCTATTAAACATGCGATTTCACTGGTTTACAGAAAAATGTTGTCAAGACACAATTTGAGTCATTAAAAAAAAACAAAGGTGAAAAGTTGTATTTAGTGAAGAGATCAAACCCAGTCCATTTAAGACGACAATAGGATAAGAAAAAACGTTTAGTCCAGATTGTAACCAGTGAGAAATTTCATGGCTCTGTTTTTCCCGTGTTTATCACAGCTTGCAATAAAAAAGAAAAAAAGGGAAACAATTTGAACAAAACTTCCCACATCCTGGAAGTAGCCCAAAGAAAACCTCCGACCATGACACAGGTTAGATTAAACATTGACGCGTTCATAGTCATTAACAAGCACAAATGAAGCCATCTGCCACTGATGGTGACACAAGGATGTCTGAGAAAGATGTGTTGGCATGGTGACAGGTTAATGTATATAAAATGGCTTCTGTCACCTTTCCACAACTGACTTTGTCACATGACAAAAAGGAGGGTTCGCATCCATCATCCTCTTTTCCTCCTCCATCATCACATCTCTTGTCATAGTATCTCTCTTAAGTCTTATTTGGAATTGTAACTTCCAGACTAAAAGTTTTTTTAAATGTCACCCGAGAAGCTGCTGGAACTCTACAGATGTCACTTTGCACTGTCTCCTTTCTCCTAAAGACAAACCACATACAAAACAAGGATAAAAACACCACTTGATTGCTTAACCTGCATTAGGAATGAGAGGTTTTTTTCCACACTAAAGCCACTCACTTGTGACTTTGGGCCTGTGCTGTGTTCAGGGGGGTCAGCGTTAGCAGGTGAAGGGGGGACACTGCCATTGGGCTCAGTGATCAATAACGTCCGCCTATCCCGGGGCGATTTGGGGTCACACTTTGTCACCCGGAATCTAGAGAAAGAAAGAGAGAGGTAACAAGAGCACAAAGCTCAGACCTTAATAATATCCATATTATTCAGTCTTAATATTTATCACAACATTAATTTCATATCAATGATTGGGAAGGAAATGGATTTAAAAAAAATTTCAGACCTCAAGAAAAGAATGTAAACACAATTTGTATAACTCCAAATAGTATCTACCTTTTAAGTTATAGCCCCATGAAATAAGATATTTTCTCTTGATTGTGTTTCATGATTCAATAAATATGTATCATCATAAATAGCACCTGACGAAATGAATTCATACAACTTATTTAATAATTTAATCAATCTTTTAAAATGTAATCAAATGAAAATAGAGCAATTCATTTAATTTGTCATTGTAAACAAAACATTGTATTTTTATTTTTGGTTTATTCAATAGTATTATTCACTTTTAACACTGTACTAACTATAAGTAACTTTGCAACTAGGCTACATGTCAATTAAATCTCATTCATTTGCAACGACAAGTTAAAAAACTTAGTAGAATGCGTTGACATACCTGTTGGGGGACCATCAAGTGTATCAAAATAAAGCAGATATTAAGCAGACAGTCTGCTAATAGACTAGAGACTGGTAGTTGAGAACTATTTGCAAAGTTACAAAGTTAGTAGAATGTCAAAAGTAGACTTATCAAAATAAGGTGTTACCTTTTAATTATTATTATAATTTTTTTTGTATACATGGTGCTGCACAACAACTTGCATACAGCATCATTTAAAATGTGGATGAAAAATCTGGGTTGTATTATATTCCTTATTATATAATATGTATCATATTACATGTCATAATTTCAAGTTAAGCCAACATTTTATTTTGGTGGTTTGTCTTGAAGACCTTTAGTGAAACAGCAGACACTGAAAACACCATGAGGGTCACGCATGATCGAGTATGTGTAGTACATCCAGACCTTTTAGCAACACCTCTATTCATCTAGCTGAAATATTTCAAATTAATTAATTTTCCGAGAATTATCAATATTGATATTTAATGCCCAACCCTAACCTCATTGTACCAGCCAGATCCAGTCCAGTTCTTTCCCACCAGGCTCGTCTCTTTCGTCTAGATCCTGACTCATACCTCACATGTAATTCATCATATGTTAAGTGTTTATGTATGTAACACACACCTGCCTACAGACAACACTGTGACTTCTCCTATGTGACTGCGTCTGTCCAGTTTCTTGCTGGATGAGCGTCTCATCAGAGGCCATTTTTTCTGGTTGCAGCGGTTGCAGATGTTCTTATGTCCTCCGATCCCTCCGATGGTGTGCAGGTGGTTGCAGGTGTGTTTGGCTGCGCTGGGCGGCAACCCTGGCAGTGCAGGGCTCTCAGGGCTGGTGGGTGTGTTCGGAGAGGTGGGCGTCACAGGGCCACTGTAGAAAATTGAACAGAAAAATATCAGCTTAATTGCATGAAATACCCAGGTGACCTAGTTACATATGCCAAAATTTGGTAAATACAACAGAGAACACTGCGGTGGGTTCTGTGGCCCACAATGTGTTTGACTTGACCTACTCCAAGCATACTAATTTGGAAACGTGTATCATAGCATAATACACACTTTCACATACTATTTAAACAAATTAACTGTATTTTTACTATTGTTCGGACACGCAGATAGACTAGACTTGAAGGGTTAGTTCACCCCAAAATAAAAATACTGTCATTAATTACTCACCCTCATGTCATTCCAAACCCATAAGACCTTTGTTTATTTTCGGAACACAAATTAAGATATTTTTGATGAAATCCGAGAGCTTTCTGACCCTCCACAGACAGCAATGCAACTACCCCGTTGAAGGCACAGAATAGTAAGGACATCATTAAAATAGTCCATGTGACATGAGTGATTCAACCGTAATTTTATGAAGCTACGAGTATACTTTGTGCGCAAAGGGGAAAAAAAAAAAAACCACTTTATTCAACAATTCGACACAGGCTTTCACAAGAGTACCACGACACATGCGTGTTGTGCTGCTGATGCAGGAGCTGGTGTTCTGATGCAGAACATCCATCTCTTAGTTAATCATCTGAATATTCTGGTTCGAATAAGTAAGGCTGGGCAAAAAAACAAAAAACAGAATAAATCTTTACACGTTCAGAATGACTGTTTTATGTACAGCATGTCATCCTCTGCTTGTAAATGAGGAGCAGCGCATTTGGGTTGTACGTCAGAACACTGGCTCCTGCGTCAGCAGCACCACAGGCATATGTCGTGGTACTCTCGTGAACGCACGTCAAAGACTGACACGGAAGACAAGAAATTGTCAGGGCCTTGAACGTGGTAATTGCATTGCTGTCTATGGAGGGTCAAAAAGCTCTTGGATTTAATCAAAAATCTTAATTTGTGCTCCGAAAATAAACAAAGGTTTTACGTGTTTGGTACAACATGAGGGTGAGTGACTAATGACAGAATTTTCTTTTTTTGGTGAACTAACCATTTAACCTAATCCTTGTGTTGTGACTCTTTAGAATGAATGTATTAATATCGTGATATATTTTTATAACATCTTTTTAAAACTTAAGTAAGCAGCATCACAATTAGTATGTTAATTATGTGAATATGTCTATTTAAGTGAATAGATCAAAACTTGAACACCAAATCACTGAAAAAAGAAAAACTGGAAAAAAAGCTTCACCTTTCACAGGTACTATATTTGAGCTGAAATACAGCACAATTGGAGCAGTTACTTTAAAAGACAGACCAACTCTCTCCCCGGCTGCTTTATCTGTCTTCTCCTCTCACCTTCTCCCTCTATTTATTTTGTCCTTCCACTCTGCCAACTAAAAAAAAATAAAGGGGGAAATGCAGCGGTCTTTTCTTATCTGTCTTCATTACACTGCGCGGGATGTTGTTCTGCTCTGTGTGCATATGCACGTGTGCCTGACTTGAGAAGCAGAGGAAGAGCAGGACAGAGATACTTCAATTGCCACCTGCAAGAGGGACTATGAGGAACATAAAGGAGCAAGGGACACGCATGCAAACACACACACTACACAAGAAGTGTATTCATTGTGTTTTGCAATGGAGCTCAAATATGAAATCAGTTAGTTTGATCATTTACTGTATAAACATTGAATTAAAAAGTTGTCACTTCAAAGCAAGGTTCTACAGGCTGCCAAGGTCTCATTAGCTCCTGCTGGTAGATGTCATAACTACACCTTCTAGCTGCCAGTGTTAAGTTAACTACACTTCACTAGTGGACCAAAAATGTTCAGTATCTTGACAGTAGCAAGGCTACTTTTAACATAGTGTAGCTTTTTCAGTAGCAAGCTATTTTTTTAAGTAGCAGTGTAGTGACACAAAACGCTACATATCCATGCTTAGAATATGAAATGAAATGCCCAACTGGCAAAAGATTCATTATTTTGAGTCGGTTCTTTTCAATGAATGTGTTGATCTTAAGCAGATACAGCGATCTGCTGGTCTGGATAGAGTAGCTTTTTCAACACTGCTAGCTGCAAAATGCATCTTTCTCCACTTTCGATCTTTTATAAATAGCTAAGTATTCTGACAAAATAAATTTTGCAAGCACGTACACTGACATAAATTGCAAACTCCACCCCTCCATTCATGAGCTTCACCCCAGACTCATCTCCCCATGGATGCCCTGTGCGCTCAGTAAGTGTCTAGAGAATGGACAGCACAACATCTCCTCTGCAAAATACCCAATCACCCTTCATTCTGAGCACCACTCCTAATTTTCCTCTCCACACCTTGAGTTCCTAATCACTCAATCCAGAGCTCCTTTCGTCACAGCATCTGATTGCTCTAAACCTTTCACCTTCCCTATACTCTTCTTTTCAGTCTCTCTATGTTGGTCTCAGTCTTGTGTTAAAGACAGTAGGAATCAAATTCACTCTGCTGCTTATACGGTGTGTCAAGCAGAGTGACCTCATTGTTCAACCCAAATCTGTTATTCACATGAATGCTCAGACCAACTGAAAAACATACACCACGCACACACAACATCAGAGGACATCTGGGGAAAAGGAAGGATTAAAGGAATTCCCCAAAATTAGAATTCTGTAACCGTTTACTCACATTCTTGTTGTGCCAAACCCATATGACTTTGTCTTTTTTCCATGGTACAAAAAAGTGAGACATTTTGTAGAATTTGCTGGTTGAGATTTTCCATGTAATAACAATGGTTGATTCAAGATTGTGATTCAAGCCTCAAGAAGGTTTAAAGGGCATGACATGTCACGACATGACATGAGAAACCGAAATTTCCCTTAATCTTTCGATACAGAAGAGGTCTTTGTATGCTTAATACATCCTGCAAGTTTCATAACTTAAATGTTTTTTATTGATGATGAGGACATTGTATGTAATATCCCTCAAAAAATGGCTTATCTTGGATCCAAGGTGCAAGGTGATGTCATCCAGTCGCAGTCGTTTGCATAAACACCGCCACCAGAGCAACACATTGACATAAGCCCCGCCCACTGGCATGCAGCCACTTAGCGGCTTGACACCTGATTATGCTGAATGCGACTGTTGCGTCAAAAGCAAATAAAAATTACGATCACTGCCGCTATTTTTTCTACACTGGATACAGTATACAGATGCGTGTTTGCTTTCGGATATAATCCACACACTTGAGTCTGTCGTTAATAGGACAAATGGAGCGAAAGAATGTTTGCTTTAATGCATTTAAAGAGCTCTTTCGCGTCTTTGTACAGATATCAGAAGGTTCCCTGCGTAAGTAACAAGTGGATAGTTTATTTTAAAGGTATCCTGGATCGTGTCAGAGGACTGTCCGGAGTGTTTTGTTTTGTAAATGAGGCACAGTGTCATGGAGAGTTCACAAAGAAACATTTGTTGAAAGATGAAGCGAAACTAGATCTGACTGCAGCTGCATCACAAACCCTAAGTAAATGATTTCATAATGCTTTGTCTGGAAATGACTCACAATAGCGAGGAGGCACTGACAGTGTTTCCTATACAATGACATTAGCCAATCATAACAGTGGCTGATTCCTGACAAGCCTTAAAGGACCCGCCTCTTAAAACAGTTCGTTTCAGAGAGAGGGTTTGAACGGGGGTTGAAAATAATCATTTTTCCACATATTTATTTGTTTTTTTTGTGCAAAAAAAAAAACTTTATTAACATTATAAGTAAACCTCAAGGAACATTAAAATAATTCAAATAAAATCCATGTCATGATCCCTTTAAATAAATAAAATAAATATTCAGTGAATTGGTTAAACTAAAACAATTCATTCAGGTTCTCTCTCTTGAACGGGTCCCAACAGTTTTCTTTAGTCACTGGAGGGGAAGATTATCGGATTATATTAACAGCTGTAACAGTTCAGAAGTTTTAAAATACACATTTAAAACCCTTTTAAGATAGTTTTATGGTCCTTTTGAATTCTAGTGAAGCTTGAAAGCAACCATTACATTTATCTCCTTTTTGTTCCACTGCAGAAATAAAAACACACAAGTTTGGAATGACAAGAGTGAGTAAATGACAGAAGAATTCTTTTAATCTAGTGACTGATGTGGAAGACTGTGAATTGCATAAGATGAATAAAACGGAGTTAAAATATAACATTTCAGGATGAAGAAACATTCACTCAAGTATTTTGAAATGAACAGCTGATATATAGTATATGAGCAATGAGTTCAAAAAAAGTGAAGATCCCTTGAAAAGATTCAAAAGGATCTTAATCTTGATGTCATAGCATATATTTTTAGCACCAGATAATTAACGCTCACCTTCTATAAACTGATGTCATGATGCTGATAACATACAGCAACATTTATATATAACTTATAAGGTGAGACCAATGCTCCACCCAGACTCATATTCCATGACTTCTCTGTATATGCGGTTTTGAAAGTCTTCCTGGATCTAATTCTGGCTTGCAGCAGTGTCAGTGATTGATGCTTTTGTGCTTCATGGTGATTTCCCCCACGATGTGTCATATGAGACAGACAGAACTACCTTTATGCCTCAATGCTGCTACTACTCTGCCCTCTTGTGCTGCTGCCGTTATTTGAGAAGTGACAGCGCCATCTTGTGAAAGGGATGGGGCACTGATTCACAAAACACCTACTGAGTTTTAATAAGCTAACAAACCATTAATGTCTACTGAAACATTCATGTTTGTTTTATAAGAATGCTAATGTGTTTTTAAAAATGTCTTTATATAAAGTGAGGAAAAGTGAGAAAATATCTTTATATGATATATATATAGCATTTATATCTTTATTTTTAAGTGAGGACCCAATAGGCCGCTAGTGAAAATACTTCTACTTAGCTTTTTGTTCTGAATTCCTATTGAATTACCAACATAATAGTGCATTTAAATAATGAATTTGTTACGTGTTTTTTTTTTTTTATATGCCGGCTCAGGACATCAGATTACAGACAGCACAAAAGAAAACAAAATTCAGGAAAGATATATACAAGGTCTTACCCCTCCGATTCTATACTGTCCTGAACCATGGCTTTGAGTGCATCGGAGTTGGCTGGTGGAAAAAAAGAAAGAAAGAAAGAGAGAGTTCATTAAATGACTTCTTATATTAGCACAGAGAAGAGTCTGCAGCCTCAGATGCAAAACCATTAAGCAAACCGTTTAGTCTTCTGCCTAATGAAAGCAGCTGACTGCCTTCTGATGCAACTACTACTGCAGCACATACTCACAGTTGCAGTGGACAGAGGGCAGTTTCAGGCCACCATTTAGTTTCATTGTGCAATGGCATCAGGGTATTTTCAATTTGAAATGCCTTCAAAAAGGCAGCCAACTTTAAAATGTTAATATTTTCACACAGTGGCACATGAATTGTGCAACCACTGGCAATGAAAGTGACTAGCACTAAACTTTTAGTTCCTTCCGTTTACACAAGAACATCTTATCCATTTTAAGAAGTTGACTGCTAGATAACTTAAACCACTTATTGATTAAACGCATCCAATAGATATGCAGAAATACGCCTGTTTCTGAAACGGTAATGTGTTGGTAGTCATGCACAATGACCAAGCAGTGGACATGGTGCAACATGAAAGCTGCCACACAAATGTATAAGACATAAGAAGCAGTAGTATCACTTCCTGTTTACCGCTCGTGTCATACTTATGGGGAAGAAACAGTTTAAAATGCTGTTGATCAGATGTTGTCACCATGGAGATCATCATAATTTGTTATTCAAATTTGGTAAATGGGAATTTCTCTTGTGCTGTGTTATAAGCGATCATGCGCTTTCACTTTCCAATTCGCGATCTTGGTGTCACCTTTAGAAGAAAAGATAATTGTCTGTTTTGCTTATATCTATACACCTTTCACTTTTAAAGACTAAAACAAAAGATGGATTCATTGTTATTCTTAATTAAAAAGCACAACAACAATAAAACAGTAGGCTACAGTTTACATAACGTTTTATTTTGTGAAACCTTACTACATATATGGAATAACCATTTTATAAAAGCAATAAGCCCCGTGAAGTCATGGTTTACAATGAATTTATAACAGCAAAGGGTCGTGCCTAACAACGTCCAATAGCTGTTATAAATTCACTGTAAACCATGGCTCTTTGGGGCTTATTGCTTTAATAAATTACAAAATGTTTAGCAAACACTGAGGAATCAAATTAAAAAAATTATAATGATAAAGAAATAGCGTGACGTGAGATAAACAGCAAAGATAAGCTTTTCAAAATGAAAACAAAAAGAGAAGCAAATTTAAACTGGCTGCCGGTGACTTTTTTTTTCTTCTCACAAGAATACCAACATGTTCATCTTCTCTGGTTTAAGAAGTGGTCTTTTACTTTACTTTAGCTTGAAAACCAAATCTTCCTTCTGCCATAATTTCCTCAATATTCGTATCATTTTTGCCGCCAATTTCGCGTACAACTGAACTTCTTGTAAACTTTAACGTTGATAAGATGCAATGTTACGGATGGACTTTACAGCATCTACAGGTGCCAACAAGAAATCAAGATGATTTTTGATTAATATTGAGAAAATTAATTTTTAAAGAATTGATTTCTTTCTCTTTTAATTTTTCAAAACTGATCAAACATTTTGTTTATTTCTAAGAGTAGGTTAGGGACATCAATAGACCTTTTTTTCCTAAGGTACCCAGTGAAACCGCTGTGCAGTCATGTTTTGTGTTTCTATCAGCAGTTTAGAATCAGAACCAGTGACTAGATGAATTAGTACTGATCCAATCACTCAAATGGGTTCGAAAAAAGGTCTGAAATATTTTGCGATTCAGGTTAAATTATTCAGACAGTTTACTCACTTAATTGTTTGCAGCAGTTTCTCACACTGATATTTACAGTACCTACAATCCAAAACTCACAAATGTTGTCTATCGTTCACGTGACCGCGATTAAGCAGCCGCATATGCAATAAAGATGCAAATATGGGACACTTTTTGAAAGGAGGCTAGAAACGCTCCTGATGCACTTTAGGTAGATTCTGTGGTCACTCAAAGCAGCTGAATACGTTTGAATAAACCTGGGGACACTCTGTAACTAATAGGAGAACATGTTGTCTGGTGTGACCTCATGATGATTCACTGCTCTGAGGTCAGCTAAGGATTGTTCATGCTCCGTCACAATCAATTCTGCATTACAAACAATGTGACTGATTGCTTACCACACCTCATATTTCCCTCAGTAAATAAAAAACTCACAAAGACATGTAATCAGTTCTGAGAGGCTTACGTCCTGGAGGGTGTGTCAAACTGCTCATATGACCTGTAACGTATGTACGCGGATACGTTGTTTACGTTCAGATCAAAGCGTCAAAATGGCTGAAAAACTAAATTTGAATTTTTTACTTAAATATCAAAATTCGAATTATATTCGAATTTAAAATATGTAGCATTTGGACCAATCAGACACACAACTTTTTGTTATATTTAACAAATAATATATAACACCCCCTTACCTAACCAAAGGGCCAATTACGAGGGTCTATGGACCCTTCCCCCGAAATGCATCTAACACCTCAGAAAGGCAGAACAGGCCTCTGGTTCCATGGCAACCAATGCTGATATCACTGGTTTTATTGCCCAAAGGAATGTGGGCAGAGAAACTCACTCATTTTCCTCATAGGAAAGACACATAATGCCCAGAGAAATGGACTGTTCTCTAATTAATTCACAGGAAAACCTTTCTTTGAATGATCACGCATAATCCTTCAGAGTATGTTGTTACTGTCCTTGTATATTGTCTTTTATATTGTATACTGTTTTATGCAGGCTTATGATAGAACCACACTTCATGTCATCTTACCTATATGTAATCCTACCATGTATAGTATCTATGAATTCGTCTTCTGATGATCTAAACGAAGGTGTATATTATATGTTGATACATAGGCAATATATTAGTGTTCTAAGAATCTTTAGTAATTTTGATTCAAGTTCCACATGCAAATTACCATGCTCTCACACAAAGGGTCATAAAACTCCCCAGTATTTCCAAACTCCCGCTTGGAATTTCAGCCTTTCTCATTGGACAAGC